CCCACCCACACCATCAGTAATGAGTTGTTGTGATTTTGATTTTAAAATCTACACCAGCAGCTGTTATCATACTATTATCAAACAAACATGACATACTGTAGAAGTCTTTACAAGAATATGAGTGCCTCTTGAGCTGGGCTGGGTAATTCAGGCAACCTCAGGCACAATAATGTTCACAGTCTTACATGATTGAGATGCTTGAAAAACTACTTCAAGACTACTGGTTAATATGATATTGTGGAGGCAAATTAAGACAACCAATATGTGTAGAGATAGCATATAGACATTGAAATTATGCTTGTTTGTGTGGGCAGAAACAGACTGGCAATGAACATTGTCTGTAAAGCATATAAATAAACACTATCAGCACTGTCTGATCAGTGATAACGTACAATATGTCATAAATTATTGACTGATAAGTGGGAGGGTTTATTATGCTACTTCTCTTTATGTCACCACACCACAAAATACTTTTTCAAGGGTTTTTGCCTGGGGTGTAAAACTATTGCTTGGATCAGCTTTGGAAGAGTGGGTAGTAACTGGATAAACAGGGCTGACCCTGCAACTCCCTGGAGGATAAAGGCAAGCAAAAGATCATTTCCTGTCAGTGATTATTCGCATCACATTATTAAAAAATCAGACTTGCAACAGACTACAAGCCCTTGATCTCAGTCAGTGAGTCTGCATGCCTCAATGCTACCCTCTGCTGTTCAAACATGGGAACCAGAAATCAATACTAGTGTACACAAACTTTTGTCTAAGCAGATGCAGTGGTAAAGAAAACAAAAAAGATATAGCAAAGAAAACCAAGTTGGAGGTTTTCATTCTAGTATACATAAAATTAAATAGCCTATTAATCACAGTCAGACAAATAAATAATTACTGAACAAACACTCACATTCCTTACTTAAGTAAAAGCACCAAGCACAATGCAAATATACTTAATTAAGAGTGAAAGTCTTGTATTTAAAATCCCACATGACAAAAATTCGGCTACACTATAGCTACATGCACTTGAAAATTTAAAGTATTCATTCTTGAAAATTGCCTCTTGTGATTAGTATCACATAATATATCAACTTAGGCCACTAGATTTTTAAAACTGAAGTATCAATGCGTAAGAAGCATTATACTGTTGTAGCTGCTGAAGTTTGAGTTGTTTTTTATCTACTCTACATACAGTTAAGTAGTCCAGTGGTTCTGAGCCTGGGGTCAGGCTCCCTCCCAAGTGTTACAAAGTAAATCTGGGGCGGGGGTTCGTGAGACAATTAACACAGTAGGGAAAAAAAAGAAAAATTATGTTCTGGAACTCAAATCTGTGTTAATTTATTTGGATTTGGTATCCTGTGAAATACTGGAGAGTTCTACTGCAAACAGATGTCTGAAACATGACAAGGGGCCACAACCAGGTGCTGCTTTTTTCGTATGGGGCCACAAGCCAAAATGATTGGGGACCACTGGTTTTATCTTTAGCAATGCACTATGGAAAGTAACTAGAAACTGCATTTGTCACATAAACATAGTTGAGTAAAGAATAGGCCTACAATATTGCTTAAGTGTAGTGTAGCACAGAATAGGCCTAGTGCTTCTTAATTGTATAGTAAATACAGCACATCAGATCACAGTGAGTAGAATCTTCCATTCATGACATAACTAAATATATAATGACAAAATAAATTAAATAACGCCAAATGTTTCCACACTATGTCCACATACAGTATGAGCATACTGATGAAGCGAAGAAAAAAAAAAAAAAAGAAAAAAAAACAGATTAGGGATTAGGAAATCTCGCGAGATTACCGATGTAACGGAGGATTGGGGCTTGGTCTTGAAGTTTTCAGATGCATCTGTAGATGAATCATAACAGCATCAAGATGTCGGGACGATCAGGCCGCGCTGAGACCCGAAGTCGAGCTAAAGATGACATTAAAAAGGTCCTGGCAGCCATCGAGAAAGTGCGCAAATGGTATGTAGGCTGTTTGACGGGCAATATGGAGGGAAATGTGTTAGTACACCGTGGGCTGATATCTGCTGCGTCGCTCAACAAACTTCAGTCGGAAAAGTTAGATGATTGACGGGCCTGTTGACCAATCAATGCCCGCGGTTGACAGAAGAGGCGGAGCTAGCTGAGTTTTTCCGTCGAGAGCTGTCAATATGGCTACAGCCCCACATGTCGCGCGCTGTAATGCGGGCTGTAATCACTTCTTAATGAAATAATAAACCCCCTGCGGTCTTTCCTCGTTATTTTTACAAGCTCGTGTAACGTAAACGAGAGCTATAAGTGAGCATGATAGGATATGTGATTAGCTGTCATCTCTACTGTGGGCAGAGAGGACCGTGAGCCTGTATGTCATGTTACAGATTAATGCTATTAAAGCAGATAATGTGATGTTAGAGCTAAACTGAGCTGCCCTCTAAAATTAGTAAAACTGATTTTATCCCAAGGGAGAAGAAATGGGTGACAGTTGGAGACACATCCCTACGCATATTCAAGTGGGTCCCAGTAACAGAAACAAAGCAGGTGGGGTCCTCTGTCATGTAAACATTACACATACATTTATTTACACACACACACACACACACACACACATATATATATATATATATATATATATATACATATATGTGTGTATATATATACACATATATATGTCTGTTGCTGGTTATAACTTCAGACTTTTATGAATGCCCCGGGTTTGTAAATAAGTAGTCTCATTAGATTATCTGCTGTCAGATTTATCGCACCAAATCCACAGGTGGAGATGTTAGAGGATTGAAAGATGTGGTCCTGGAAAACACAAACTCTTTACTGGATTTCACTGGTGAGTTTTTTGGCTGTTGTTAATAAAATAACAGAGCCATTGCAGGTATAATGATGTGTATATGCCAAAAAGCCAAAAGAACTACCCAAACTAAAAAAAGAAATTGCTGTGCTCCTTGCTTCAGATGAAAACAGCAACCAGAGCTTTCTGTCGGATGTTTACCAGCCTAAAATGGATAACAGCAGCAGCACCTCCAGCTCGCAGCAGGTCAGCCCTCCACATACCTCCAGCCTCCGAACTGAAGACTCCCAGCCACCGATGCTGGGCCAGGAGAGTGTGGATGGTATGTGGATGGCTCTTTCGATCATCTTTTCTTATACTTGGGTGTTTACCCATCAATCTCTTGTAACTGATTAGTGGTAACAGTAATTAACGATAACAACACTTAGAAATCACTTAGTTGTGTGTTGTGCTGTCTCTGAGTTTGTTCACTGTCGAAGCTGCAATAATCAGGCTATAATTCCACTGCTCCTTGTGAATGCAGAGCCGGTTCATTCAGGACAGGAGGGGGCTGATGAGCCTCCTACGCTCATCAAGGAGGACCTTCTTTCATCAGGAACTGTCAGACGGAGTTCCCCGGACATACAGGTTCAAGGCGTCCCTAAACATTTTCCTTGATTGATTCATACCACTGTGGTCTGTTGCGTGATGTAAAACTGAGGTTAATTTAAACTAGAATTGTTCCTAACCATGTGAAAACATACATAACATATTTCATATGTTGTTTTTATTTAACAGGAGGAACTGGATGAATCAGGAGCACCTCCTTTAAAGAAGATTTGCACAGGAGAAAATGCTGTTCTAAGATAGCTTATTTATAATCATTTTGTCAAAATGCACATGATACTTGTCTTCAGTTGTCAGATTAGCTAAGCTTTCAAAATTATTGTAAGGTTCTCTTGACATAGCTACGCAGGTATTACTCATTACATTTCAGCAAATGAAAAAAAAAGTATTTACTGCAGACTCTTTGTTCACTTTTAAAGGTCTTTAAAGTCTGTTTAAAGCGATTTCTGAAATGAATGGAGACGACTTCCCAAACTTTGTGTGGCAAGTCACTGTGGTAGCAGGCGGTGTTTATTTCCATTCACATGCTACAAATGTCCAGTTTTCTGGCAACTAACTGTTTTTTATTTACTCTTTATGCAGTTGAACTTTACTTTTGCATGTTTCCATATTCTGTTGCTTTATTTTTGAGATTTACAGGCCATTTTGAAAAGATGCTAAATGTGTAGCTCTATGGAGATAGATGTTTAGATGTGCTATCATTGTATTAAACATGATGCCCTTTCTGAAACGGGTCTTCTTTTGGCTTATCACATTGAAGAATTAATTCTTTTTTAAATATTTGTAATATAATTTGCCCATGTTTATAACAGAAAGTGTTTTGTAAACCATAATAAATGCTACTTTCCATGTCAATTCATTGATGCTGCAAGGTTCAAATTTATTCACCATAATATCTTGAGAAAATCATTCTACATATATAAAGTTGGGACAATACAAGGTAACTTATTGTTTAATCATACCCGTTCAAAATACAGCCCAGCCAGTGGATTTAGAAGGTTAATGTGATGATTCAAAGAGGAATGAATGGCACATCAGTTTTCAACAATTACCCGCATCAGTCATGGAGAGGTCCACAGGGCATTACCAGCACATAGCCACCTACTGCATATGAATTACCTTACTACACTACCCACTTAACATTTATTTCAGCACTTTTTGCATTCTCCACACCTTGCACCACCTGACATTTTTGCCCACTGGCTTGCACATAATAGTAAGATGTTTATTCATCTTTGCTCAGTTTTGTTGTCCTTGTTTTAGCTGTATGTCCAACTCGCAGCTATTGGTACTGTGTTTAAGTACACTGAGAACCACTGGAAACAGGAGTCAAATTCCTTGCATGCACATACTTGGTCAAAAAGGCTGATTGTGATGATTTGTATTGTCATCAGCTGACCTCCAGATTCTGTTTTCTGTATGGGCGTGGTTTATGTGAAGGGACTGTCCTAGTCTGACAATAGACAGGGCATATCAGCCAATCAGTGGGCGTATCAGACCAATTCGATGAGGGCGCTTGACTGAGAGAGCCAATGAACGTTGGGAGGAGGTGGGGCGCGTGTGCAACGCCGCTTGCTGCCGGGGAAACGGAGTTCTGAGGGTGTAGGGAATTGTGCCGGTGCGCTAGAAACTCCCGCCATTTCGACAAGGAATTAACCTCTTGATTGATGCAGGGTTACTTTTTCGTAACGCTTCCTTACACTCTTATCTGACAGGGAGAAGTTCCGACTGTACGAAAATGCAGCGAAGACAACTGATTAAACGAGAGCAGGCCTAGTTTGCACAGACTTGGGACTGTACAGCGCGCCAGACCTCATGCTGAGCTGAGCTTCGGCTGTTGCCGCGAGTTTGATTTTGGTGTGGTTTTGCATCCTTTCGTGTTCATCCGGAGCTAAAAGTTTACCAACTGTCTCGAGAGACAACTCCAGCAACCTTTTTTACACCCAAGTCATAGCGTGGAACCATCATGACACCACTACTAGAGGAGAGAAGAAGGATGCGATGAGGTGGTTGGCAAGAAGCGCACTGTTATTGTTTTGCAACAAGATAGCGATCCAGCCTACTAGCTAGTCAGCTAGCTGCTACACGTTGGGTGCCGGGCCTGCCGGCGGTAACGTGAACCGTGCTAAGATAATTCGGGACGCTTGGATACATGCTAAGGACATTTTATTGTATATTATTGTACTAAATTGTCTCTAGAAGATCTGATTTTAGCGTTGGCACCCGTGCCATCTGAAGATTTGAAATGGCACCGCTTTTGGGCCGGAAACCTTACCCTCTGGCTAAACCGCTAGCCGAGCCACCAGGCCCGGGAGAGGAGGTCTACATCATCGAGCACACCAAGGAGGCCTTCAGGAACAAAGAGTATCCTTTAACATGGTGTTGATGCTCAGTCTCGACTTAGCGAGAGCCAGCCGGCATGCAGTTTGGTTGGCTTTGTCTGCCTGGGTAAAATGATGTCTACTCAGTTACATGCACAGGGTTGTAACCCGGCTTAAGGAAGCTAATTTGATATTACCAGACATTTTCCCCTCGTTTAGTGTTTTCCCGCATGTACAACACATTGGATGACAAGCCCTGCTAGCCAATATTCACATCGCTTTGCTAATCAACTCGCTACAGCTGGCTATTTCACGAAGCGAGAAAATAAGAGATTTTGTCGGGTACCGTTCTTATGCTTAGCTAAATGTACAGAGCTGCTATAAAAGGCCTTCCTTTCACTTTCTGCTTTTACGGCCCCGCTTTCAGCCACTAATGCTAGCAGAGTTAGCTAGCATGCTACTAACGTTTGATTCCCCATAATGTCACAATAGCCCGTCGTCTGCTCTCATAGGCTGGAGCTAGCTGCTAACGTTAGCACACAAACCTTAGCTACCGGTCTATTTGTGTTTTTGAGTTTACAAAGAGAGAGGACAGCAGCTGAGTAACATATAGTAACTTAGTTAAAACAGTTTTTTTTGGGTAGATAGTGTCCTGGTGGAACATTCAGGTGACTGTACCTTCTCGTTTAGGAGATGTTTATGTGGAAAGTTCAAACTGTCAGCGAGATTATAAAGCTAGCTGCGACAGCTCCAAGTGACACACGTAGTATTAAAAGTAGTCTCGAGATGTTTTTATGGCAACCTAAGTTAGTATAAGTTGTAGTAGATTCGGATTCATGCAGTGACATAGCTATTTTATCCAGCTAACTGTTTGCATCTGACTTTAATATCTGTTATCATCACTGTGTGAAGAGTAGCCGAGAGAACCAAAGGCCTTCTGTCTACCTTTCCACACTGCCCTTTTATACTCAGAGTTTGGCTTGGGAATGCTGTTCTCTTTATTGTTGTGGCTTTTTTAGAGTCAAACTTTTCACTCCCATCCCAAAAAACTCATAGAGGTGTGTTTATTGTCCTTTCGCCCCAAAACTTAATTTCCTCGTTCTAGGTAGCCAATTCCATTTTCCTGTGTTCCCCAGCGTCATCCCTGATCCTTTCCCAGTTTTGAATTTTTATTACACCTGTTAGTACACTCACAGTATAACTATAGATGAAGTTTTGTTAAGTTGTTATGAAGTTCTGTCTGTGTATGCTGGGTGCAGCTTTGCCCCAACCTGTTATTAAACTTTTGACATCAGTGACACTCATTTGTCAACAATAGACCTTAAATATCTTGCTGGTAATGAATAAGCAAATGGCCAAACAGGCAACTGTTTACATGTGAATATTGTAAGTTACCTTGACAAAATGACTACAGAGAGTATGAGTCACGCTTGCAGAGGTATGATGAGCGCATCTGGACGTGCAAGAGCACTGGAAGCAGCCAGTTGACACATAAAGAAGCATGGGAGGAGGAACAAGAAGTCACCGAACTGTTAGTATCTCAGCCAGAGTTTGTGTGTGTGCATGTTCATGATTCCGTTCAGCCATCGTAACGAGCTGTTAGTGCACTCTTAGCTCAGTGCAATCCACAGCCTATACACATAACATATACATAACACATTCAGATGTCCAGAAAAGCTTATATGTGTAAACCTTTACTGGTAATTTAGATGCACATGCCCAAAAATGCAGATTAGCCTCTCTTACAGAAGCTCAGTGGTATCATGAAAGAGCCATACTCTCCCAGTGAAGGTCACAAGGCTTGCTGCGTTGCTATGATTGGATAAATCTGGTGCTCCTCCTCTCATTCTATTTCGAGGGTGTGTGATTGAGTCATCCTTGAATCTGCAGTGGCCTGGTGAGAGCTTCCTTATCCTGATCTGCAAAGGGAAGAATAAAGACAAAAACATTAGACTATTCCATCTGATATCTTCATATGTTCACCTATCACCAACCAGGTGTAAATATATAGTATTGTTTTTGTGCAGTCAGCGAGAAGAAGGTGACCTAAACTATATATGTGGCCCAAAGAGATGCCGCAGCAAAGTCAGGGCAGACCAGTGCTCAGCTGCCCAGAGCTCAAGTCACTCAGGATCCTGAGCTGTATTTAAGCCCTGTCTAATTATATCAGCCAAGAGACTTTACTCCCCCTACTGGCCACTCTCAGCCCTTTGTTGTCCTGTTATGTAATGCTGTAGTCCCTGTTATGGCTGCAGGCCAAAAATCCAAACAGTGTGAAAGAAGTCTTGTCATGAATAGAGTGTATCACACCCATGATCGAATCCAATTTATGTCTGACGTGACAACTAAGCTTGTTTTTAAATGCCATCAGGACATTAAAAACAGCGTCTCACTTTATATGTAATGAAGTCCAGCACTAAATGATAGGAATGCAAAAACTATATTATACTTTATTTTCATTTACTTTTTTTATTTGTTGTACCAATTGCCCCTCATGCTCCATTTGCAGGCTTCAGGAGGAGTATCCCCAGTGGTTTGAGAAGCCGGTCCTGGAGATGGTCCACCACAACACAGTGTCTTTAGACAAACTGGTTGAAATGGCCTGGGTGGAAATCCTTACCAAGTATGCTGTGGGTGAAGAGTGTGACTTCCTGGTCAGTTTAACTTCTTAAATTTCTAAATTTGTGTGTTAAATATGGCTGTTATATAACTTTGTATTTGGATCATATGATGTCCCCAACAGAAATCAGACTCATAACATAAGCAGTGTTATGTTGCGTTAACTATCTCGCTTCAAATATTATATTTAGAGGACCATACAAACGTTTTTTTCATCATCATTCACAGCTAAGTATGCATACCTGAAAGTATTGCTGAGCATTTAGCAAAACATTCTATATATTTTTGTATTTATGTTCTGCCTCACTAGCAGCCATTTGCTTCAGTTGCTTTCATCTAGTCTTAAAACTGTAATTACCATACAAAACTTTAATTCAGTAGAGAACATTTTTATAAAATGACAAACCTGCATAAGATCTAACTGAAACCCATCCTAGTGGAAGGGCAGGGATAAGCGGACGTTTAATTGGAAACTTCCTGTTGGTGTATTGTCTTCAGGTGGGGAAAGACAAAAGTTTGCAAGTGAAGGTAGTGAAGATCCACCCCCTAGAAAATCCAGAGGGCGAGACAGGGGAGAAGAAGCTTGAAGGTGCCTGTGACTCTCCATCCAGCGACAAGGAGAACGCAAGCCAGGAGAACCAGAGGAAGGAGCCTCTTCCCCGAGAGGAGGAGAACAGGAGGGAGAGTCTCAGTGAGTACAAATCAAAATGGCGCATATGGTATTTTTTTCCAGGCGTTGGTTCGTGTGCTATTTGGATAGATTATTCTTTCTTTGTAAAACCCCTTTTAGGGATGCCCCAATTGATTGGCCGGTTTTCATTAAAAATACGTGATCAGTAGATTGGAATTAATGCGTCTAGTCACTGATCACCTGTGGTTAATACTCTGGTGTCTACGACTGAGAGAAGCACTGTGTGCTGTGTAGTCCTGCCTCCTACCTTGACTGCGTTCAAAACAACATGTCAGTCGTGTGGACCTTTTACAAAGTGTGTGAGACTGATATACCGTATGACATCTGCAATGCATGCTGAAAATGATTCGTATCGGTTGATCTCACTCATAGATGATTGGTATTGGTGGCAAAAAAAACATGATAGCTGCATTCCTACTTTTTTTCTTACAATGTTTTGCCTCCTATCAGGTGACAGAGCACGACGTTCTCCGAGGAAACTTCCCACTGCCACGAAGGAAGAGAAGAAGAAGTGGGTAATGCCCAAATTCCTTCCTCACAAGTACGATGTGAAGCTCATCAACGAGGATAAGGTTTGTATCACGTTACTGGCAGTCAACAAACGTTTAGATGTGTTTCCCGTGTTGCTTTCAGATAAAGTTAAGTTTTATTTTTGAAACCTATGACTGTTTGTTACTCTTATGTTTTTCTGTGCTACAGCTGATGATGATTTTTGGTATTCTTGCCAGTCAGTCTCTGAAAAATGCCACGTTGGGTTCATAATTTGTTATGGTCTTGCATTTTTGAAAGAAAGTGAATTTAATCCTTTGAACTGACTTCTCTTCCAGGTGATCAGTGATGTCCCTGCAGACAGTCTTTACAGAACAGAGCGCCCTCCAACCAAGGAGATCATGCGCTATTTCATTAGGCACTATGCTCTGAGGCTGGGCATGGGAGAGAGTGCTCCCTGGGTGGTCGAGGATGAACTGGTGAAAAAGTTTAACCTTCCCAGCAAATTCAGTGACTTTCTTCTTGATCCACACAAGGTAATTTACTCAAGTTAGTTTTTCTGCATATTGCTTTATTTAAAAATGTCGCTTGTTCTTCGCTCACACTCTTTTTGTTTGGTTAAAGTTTTTGGCAGAGAATCCCTCGACAAAGCGTAAGAGCTTGACATCTCCAGAGGGTAAACCAAGCAAGAAGCTCAAGACCTCTGACACACCAGGAGAGGATTCAGGAAATGAGAAGGGAGAGAAGAAAAGGAAAAAGAAGAAAGACGCTTTAGGCATGCCCCTTAGTCCCACTATCTGGGGCCACATGCAGGTGAGCAGGCTTCTATGTACATGATTAAGTTTTGTAAGGATAGTAAATACTGATTATGGGGAGTCCTTTTAATAGTCAAAGCTTTGGTTAATGGGCTCATGTTGTCTGTATTTCAGAAAATAAAAATGAATGGTTCTCCACTCAAGGTTAAGAACTCAGGAACCCCTAAGAAAGGAGAAGGCAAAGGCTCTACAACCTCCACTCCAAAATCAGGCAGAAAGTCCGGCGACAAGAAAGAAGGAAAGAAAACTGGAAAGAGCGGTGATAAGAAGCTCAATGTGCTCAAAGCTTCTAAAAAGGATGGTAAAGCTGGTGCTAAGACACCGAAGATGAAGCAGATGACTCTGCTGCATCTGGCTAAAAGCACCTCTGCTGGGAGCCCTAAGAAGAGAGCGCGTAGCACTGGCATGGGTACACCTAAACTGGGGAAGCCACTGCACCCGATGGCTCTCCACCTCCTTCGTTATTATAAGGAGAATAAAGGCAAAGAGGACAAAAAGAACTCCCTCTCCTCCCTCATCTCCAAGGCTGCAAAGACCTTATCCCCAGATGATCGTGGCCGTCTGCCGGAGGAGCTCAAGGAGCTGGTGCAGAAACGCTGGGAGCTTCTGGAGCAAAAGAAACGATGGGCAGCCATGAGTGAAGAGGAAAGGCAGGAAGAGATGAAGAAGCGGCGTGAGGAAATCAAAGAGAAACTGCGAGAAAAGGCCAAGGAGAGACGCGAGAAGGAGATGCTGGTCCGCCGCGAACAATCACGTAGATACGAGGACCAGGAGATTGAAGGTGGCAAGACCCTGCCGACGTTCAAGCTTGTAGACATGCCTGAGGGGTTGCCTAACACCCTGTTCGGTGACGTGGCCATGGTTGTGGACTTCCTGCACTGCTATGCAGGGCTGTTGATGCCAGATGATCAATATCCCATCACAGCAATGGCTCTGATGGAAGCACTGGCCGGGGAGCGGTCCGGCTTCCTCTACCTGAACCGTGTGTTGGTGGTGCTGCTCCAAACGCTGCTGCAGGATGAGCTGGCAGAGGGCTACAATGAGCTGGATATGCCCTTATCTGAGATCCCCCTTACCATGCACTCAGTGTCCGAGCTGGCACGGTTGTGTCTGCGACCATGCGATGCTCATGGTGAGGAGAGTGGCAAGGGCTCAGAGGACTTGGGGCCCATGGGGGGCTTTGATGATGTGGTAACCAGTGAGTTCCTGGAGAAGCTTGAGACAATCGAGGTGTTTGAGCTGAGCCCCGAGGAGAAGGTCAGCCTGCTGGTGGCGCTGTGCCACCGCATCCTCATGACCTACTCAGTGGAAGACCATGTTGATGAAATGCAGCAGCGGTCAGCTGAGCTGTGGAAGGAGCGCCTGGCTATGCTGAAAGAAGTCAATGATCGCAAGAAGGCTGAGAGGAAGAGGCGGAAGGAGATGGAAGGCAAAGGTAGGCGAGCATCACCGCGGAGCTTTACGTGTAGTTGTTATGTAGCAGTGAAACTAATGAGAAGACCTCGCTCTTTTAACCACTAAAAAGCTCACAAAATCAAAAAGCTTCTTGAACTGTGGGTTTATTATGAATATATTCTGATCATTAGTTTTTGTAAAAAAAAAAAAAAAAAAAGAGACAAGAGAATCCTTCAGCCTGTCTTTAGTCAAATACATACAAATACAAGTTGGTATTAATATATTGTTTTTTTCTTTATTTCTTTATTTATTTTTGTCTCAAAGGTGAAAAGAAAAAAGAGGGGGGTTCTAAGAAGGAGGCCAAAAAAGAAGTAAAGGTGGAGCAGGAGCCAGAGCCAGAGGACATGATCAGCTCAGTGAAGAGCCGGCGGCTGATGGCAATGCAGGCCAAGAAGGAGAAGGAGGAGATGGACAGGCAGAACAAAGGTAAACTTCACAGCAGGGCGTGGAACAGTTCAAATGTGACTTTAAAAAACAAAACGTGAGCTTTGGAACGTGGTTAGTGCAAGACACATCAATTCTGGTTTTGTTCGGTTCGTATACAGCTTCTCCGACACTGGGATCTTGTAGTGATGTGACTCATTGAGAGCAATGCCAGACAGATTATCATTTAATACATTGTGATGCAGAGCGTATGGAGAAAGAGGCTGAAGAAGAGCGGATGCGTAAACAGAGGGCTGCTGCAGAGAGGGCCTTCCAGGACGGGATAACCAAAGCCAGACTTGTCATGCGCAGGACCCCGCTGGGTACAGACAGAAATCATAACAGGTGAGTGCTGCACACAAACAGTGATTGATTATTTACAGATAAATGGAAACCCTTTTAATGACTTCAGTAAATTATAACCATGTTTGCTGGATGTGTTTGTTCAGATACTGGCTTTTCTCCGATGTGGTTCCTGGTCTGTATATTGAGAAAGGCTGGGTGCATGAAAGCATCGACTACAGCTTCACCCCTCCACCTGAAGAAAAACCAGCTGAGCCTGAAGAGGAGGAGGATGGTGAGTCAGCTGCTGCTCATGACTCACAAGGTACAGTATTTAAGTTGTTATCAAATTGTCTAAATGTTTGTTAAAAATTTCATTTTTTTTTCTATCAATATTCGTACTGACATCAAAAGTTCTGCAACCTGTGTCTTTTTTATGTTTTGTTAGATTATTTTTTTCTGCTTTGCAGTCGTAGAAATGTATGTATTATAATTTTTGACATGATGAACTGTTGTGTTGTAGGAGCTGAAAAGGATGACGGTAGCATAGATGGTGCTATTAGTGAAGCAGCCCAGCAGGGAGCAGCAGCAGACGTCTGTATAGAAACCACTGCTCCCAAACAGGGACAGAACCTCTGGTAAGAGCTGTGCCTCTTTCTTTCTCTTTCTTTTTCTGTATTCTCTTTCATTTGAATGATTTCACCCTTTTTTTCCTTTTGACACTGTCGTCTCCATATAAAAGATTTTCTGCCTTTTTGATCCAGGTTCATATGTGACAACCCAGCTGACCTGGAAGAACTGGTGGAAGGTCTTCACCCTCAGGGGGTCAGAGAGAGTGAACTGAAGGCGAAGATACAAAGCAGGTAAATGCATTTTCACTGCACTTCTTATACGTTGCATTCCTGACTTTCAGGGATCTATTGTTGGGAGGTTACAAAATTCAGTAAAAAAACAGTAGCAGCAAAGTTGTAGATATGGATAATGCAGGTTACTTAAAAAATCTTTTTTGATACTGAACCAGGTTGACCAGAAGAACAGCGCAGTGTTTCCTTTACAGAGAAGACAAACTTCAATGTAAAGTAAATGTAAAGCTAAATACAAAGCTCTTCTTTCCCTGTTTAGGTATCAGGACATCGTCCACTCCATCCATCTGACACGTAAGGCCAGACTAGGCCTCAGGACTTGTGATGGCTACACAGAGCTGCTCAAATATCTGTGCAGTGACATTCAGGAGGTGGCTTCACGGCTCCAGAAGGGAGGCCTGGGATACCTGGATGACAACATGGACATCGAAGATCGGGTGATTAGTTTGTTTAACTATTATGTGCACTGAAGAATGAGAAATGTATGTTGTCTATGATGGTCAATCAATACTTGGCGTGTGCTCAGCATCTTTGTCAGTGTGTGAATCTTGAACTTGTGTCATCGTCTGTACACAGTTGAAAGACACGCAGAGCTTGAAAGACTTTGGCGAGTGCATCATCACCATTCAGGCCTGTGTAATCAAGAAGTTCCTGCAGGGATTCATGGCACCTAAACAGAAAAAGAAGAAAAAGCATGGAGGCGAAGAAAGCAGCAAGGCTGAAGAGGTGGATGAGGAGAAGAGACTGGCAGAGGAGGCGAGGGTAAGAAAGAGAGTTGTTCGTGTTCGGTTTTAACTTGTGACAAATGACAAAAAGTCATTGACTGCTGTTAAAGTAAGGATTTTAGTCATGCACGTTTGCAGTTATTAACCACAGCAACTGCATTAATGTCGTCATGTTGTTAAGCACAGTGCTATGTTGAACTTTTCCTCTTAGGTAGCTACAGCAGTAGAGAAGTGGAAGACAGCTATCAGAGAGGCCCAGACCTTTTCCCGCATGCATGTACTGCTGGGAATGTTGGACGCTTGCATAAAGTGGGACATGTCTGCTGAGAACGCTCGCTGCAAAGTCTGTCGCAGGAAAGGTAAGGACTGATTTCAACTGCTGTCTCTTAAAGTCAGAAATTTTAAAGAATACCTGCACCAAACAAGTTATTGAAAGATGCCATTATGTACATAGTTGTTGTCACATAGCTTTCCGTATTTTTGACTACAATTACAAGTTCAAAAACCTGTAACAGGATGGGTAAGAGTACCTCAGAGACCACAACCGAACCAGAGTAACCCTTGTCCACTGGGTTTTTGTTTCTTTTTTTTCCCTACTGAAACAGTCAATACAACTATCTGATGTCTTTTCTAACCAATTTACTGATTTACATAGTCAGTCAGTCAGTCCTGTTTGACTGAGGCAGTGCTACACTACCCAACCAGCCTTGTGCTCCCTGTCTAGTGCTCAGGCAGAGCCCATCTGTGCTGCAGCTGATGGAGTCTAGGCCCAGATCCAGACAGGGCAGCATCAGCAGCAGGCTCAAAGCAGAACAGACAAGTAGTGTCAGGCAGGTCTACATACAGAGCCGGCAGCTCCGCAGGACAACAGGTGAACCTGTAGTGATAAGATGACAATAAGAACTTAGTTACTTGCACAGCAACAGAGACAAACAAGGAAGATGAGGACAAGTAAGACCGAAAGACGAAAATGTAGGAATACTTAGTAAATATTAGGTGAAATGGATAAAAAAAAACCTTGAGCTCAGTCTAATGATTTATACTGACGTCTTCCAGGTGACGATGAGAAACTTATCCTCTGTGATGAGTGTAACAAGGCCTTCCACCTGTTCTGTCTGCGACCGGCCCTGTACCGCATCCCTCACGGAGAGTGGCTGTGTCCTGCCTGCCAGCCCACTGTGGCCAGACGTGGCTCCCGGTCAAGGTAACTGTCCGCCCAACACTGTTTGAGTTGTCCCATCTTAAAGCACCATTTTAATCCGTGTCCTGACTCAACTAGCTAGCTTCATCTCCTTTTTCTGATGAGAAACTTCAGACATCACAAAAGCCAGGCTACTGTCATTGTAACCAGTGCTGCGCTCAAAACACTGAACTCCATACAAAATGATTGCAAAAACGAATAGAGCTGTGGTAACCTCTCCGTTGCAGGAACTATAACCAAGACACAGAGGAAGAAGAGGATGAGGAGGAGTCTGAAGAGGAGGAGTCTGAAGTAGATGAGGACGATGAGGACGACAGCGACTACAAAATCACTAGGCACAGATGTGAGTATCAAAGAGGAAATTACATCCAAGTTTCGCAATATTGTCTCAACTCGGTGATCACAAGGGCTTTAACCTAACCCTAACACTCATGTCACACATTTCCCTGAGTACATCAGTTAAAAGATGGTGATGAATATGACTAAATATTCCAGTCTGTCCAGGTGATCATTGACATTTTATATGTACCTACTCAAAACCGGAATCCTTGTGCCATTAATAGATGACATTTTTCTGTTAAACACTATGGCACAAAATAAAAAAATAAATTGAATTGAATAAAAGGGATGTCCAAAGAGATATATCACAGATCATTTGAAAAATGCTGGTCCTTGGGGCTGAAGTTTTGGGAATGAGAGGAATGCTGATGGGGAATTTCAGCCCCTGTCTCTATTGTCTGTGTGTTGTCATGTAGCACAGCTCAGGTCTGGATCTTCCTTTGAAGCTGTGTCTCACTCTGGCTTCACTCAGAGTATGTGGCAGGATGATCCCTGTCTGTCAGTTCAGGCCTGCATGTCAAGGTCAACGATTAAGAAGTTTAGCGCATTGATGCCTAATAGTCAAAGGGAAGATGGCAGTGCACCTATGAACAGATTATGGTTCTCAGACTGTGTGATAATCCACTGACAGTCTAGGGCTCAAGTCCATGGTGGCCTGGGATCGGTTTGGTTCACTGACAAATTAAACATTAACTTGATATTTTAGATTCCAGAAGCAGAACTGCAGCATATCCATGATGTTAATTTCTATTTATTTTTCTTGTTTCTCTACAGTGAGATCAAGGAAGAAAAATAAGCAGACTTCATCACGGCAGAAAAGTTCAAAAAGTAAATCCAAGAAGCAGTCGTCTAGTAGTCAGAGCAGCAAACAGAGGGCCGGCCCCAACAGCCCTGCAGACATTGATGACCTGGTAAGAAACCATAAGGATTGAAGTAGGAAACATGATGGCAGGAGTTCATTTGTATTTCACAAACCTGCAGACATTTGAAAATTTGCATTGCGAACATAGAATAAATCAGTTTTGTATTATTGCTTTTTTCTGATTGTTGCCTGTGTGTGCGGTTCCTGCAGGTGCGACAGAGTTCCCAGTCAGGAGTGCGCAGGCAGGCGCTGGAACTGGAGAGGTGTGAGGAAATCCTCAAGAAACTGATGAAATTCCGCTACAGCTGGCCTTTCAGGTGAGCAGCGAGCATAATCTGCATGCGTGAAAAGAAAATCAGTATTCAGTGTAGTGAGTATGCTGACTCTTGAACAACCACACATTGTTTGGAGTAGTTTACACTAACTGTAATAACTGAACCTCTTCAAACAACATGTGTCTAATTCATCCCTGGTATGTCCAAGCCCAGAGCTTCTCAGGCAACACTTCCTTCTAGGCAGTGCACTGACCATAATGAGCCCAAACACGTTGTAAATACGTTGAATTGGATTATAATCTTTTGTTTTAGTTGTTGTACATTGACATGACCTGCTACCGGAATGACTGACAAAGTTTAGACATCATGAATTGATCTGATCCTTAGCGTTGAGTCTCACGTGGCCCTCAGCTCATGCTCTGCCCCTTTTTCAGGGAGCCCGTGTCCGCCGAGGAAGCAGAGGACTACTTGGACATCATCTCTCAGCCCATGGATTTCCAGACGATGCTGGGAAAGTTCAGCCAGGGTTCGTATCGTCACGCCCAGGACTTCCTGGAAGACATCAAGCTGGTCTTCTCCAACGCAGAGGAGTATAACCAGCAGGGCAGCACCGTGCTCTCCTGTATGGTCAAGACGGAGCAGACCTTCACCGAGCTGCTCCAAAAGCTGCTGCCTGGCCTCAGCTACCTCCGCCGGCGTTCACGCAAACGAGTCAGCCGAGCCCCAGCAACATCTGAGGAAGACGAGGAAGAAGAAGATGATGAGGAGGCAGAGGAGGAGGAGGAGCAGGAGGAGGAGGAGGAGGAGGATGAAGAGCAGGAAGAGGAGCCGAAGAAGAAGATGCAGAATGGCAAATCAAACAGTAAGAAAAGCAGAAATTGTCGAGGACGGAGGGATGAGGAGAGCGAGAGCGAGGAAGAAGAGGAGGAGGGGGATGACGAGGAGGAGGATGAGGAGGAGGGTGATGATGATGGCAGGAGGAGAAGTAAGCGGACCTCTGCCACCTCAGGCAGGAAAGATTACAGGGAGCCGGATAGCGATGGTGAGCGGGACACACGGAGAACTCGTCAGCGGGGGGGCCGGGGTGACGCAGGGGGGGCGAGCAGCGACGATGACCGGTCCAGCCAGCAGCGACATTCCAAGAGGCAGAAACGCTCATGAAGTCCAGGGTGCTTTTTGTTGTTTTTGTCGTCTCTTTGCTTTAAAAAATTTTTGTCCCGCTCCTTTAAGAAAAAAAAAAAAGAAAAAAAAAAAGCTCGAGACCCCTCCATCTCCTCCCACAGCCAGCGGGGCTCAATCCTCAGAAGGACTCTTTTTGTTTTATTGAATTTATGTTCATATTTTGAAAAACGACAAAACTGATTTATATTTGTAACATGTTTAATATTGGTGATGCTTTTTTTCCAACCAAGAAAAGAGGTAATGGAGAGGTCCTCATAGCTCTTAAGACTCTTTGATTTGAATTTCAGTTCCAAGTTGACAACCTTACATACATTGCTTTGTTTTTTACCTTTGCTCTCCCCATGCACCAGTACATCGTAATCAGATATATGTCCTCATTCATAGTCCAGCCATCACTTTACTGGGGTTTTTCAGGATAGTAGTCCAGCTGTAAAATGTTTGTCCCACTCACATCTCTGTTACAAGTCATCATGTTTTCACTGACTAACAGTACTTCTTAAAGAGATGGTGTCAATGTAGCTGAAACCCTCTTTCTTGGCTTAGAAACAGCACTGATGGCTGATTATGAATTTTTCTGTCACCTGTAAATCGCTCTTACTACTAAGCATCTTGCCACCAAGATTATCTTTGGTCAAATGCAAGTCTATAGATAAACACGATAGGATTTTACTAGTTGTAGTAGTTGTTTTCCAGCCCAGGTTCAGATTTCTTGTGAAAAGTCGAGTCGAGACTGCAGATCACACATGTAGTCACATCATTTTAATGCAAGAAGAAAAGAAAAAAAAAAAAAAAAAAATCATCTCAGCTCTCGGTGCCAAGCTTCGAGTCTCATTCTTGGTGCGTAGAGCTGGCCAGCCTTTCCTCCTCTGTAGTGCCCTGCCACTTTAAAAAGAACCGGTACCTCAATGCTCCGTCAGTTTGCACTCCTGTGTAAAGTGCGCCTACTATGCCAGCAGCTGCAGGACCATACTTTATTGAATTTTGTGCATAAACATTTGTAAACAGTGTTTAAAACAACAAATGTGATGTTTGTTAAAAAAAGAAAAAAACGGGCATTTTTGAATATTTGATATTTTTTGCACATTTTATTTGGTATTGTAAATGATAACTTGATGATCTTATTCACATCCAATAAATTGCAAGGTTTAACCAGGGCTCTCGTAGTCAATACAGAGAACATGTCAGAGTTATTGTAGTTTTCATTGTCGCAGCAGAAACCATCACTTGCTTGTACATTTTGTAACAAACCCCTAATGTCCCCTGTCATTCCTTAATGTGGAATTGGTGACACAAACGGTGTGGCTTAAAGCAACAAGGTAAATGAAGGTTTCCCAGCATGTCCTGGTTCAGTCACCAGGTGGTGCTCTCTTCCTGCTCTTTGTCCCAGCATTTTCCAAGTAATACAGTGATACTGCTGTGTTTGCTGGACTGCTATAACACCTGACTGCCACAGGTTTGTGCTCTCACTGTCCATTAAAGCAGGGGAGCTCCATAGTGCTGGTATATTTTGACTTTTGTAGTAACTTCTAAACAGGGGGCAGGAAAACTGCTGCAGCAAATTGTTTTCATTTTGAATCAGACAAAACATTTAAATGAAAACTTTTTTGAATGTGCAGCAGTTTCTCTAATTTGTATCGAGGTGTATATATACATATATACATACTGATAAGGCAGTGGTTGGTTTGCCCTCTTCTGTCTGTACTGTGCTGTGTTGTTCTCCTGTTTTTCTAGTGCTGTTATCATCAAGACTTTACTGATTTCATTTGGCCACTGATTGTTTTTTGTTTTTTTTACCCGCCACCCCCCTTCATTATTTTTGTTTCAATTCGGCTTTGTTCCTGACATGAAGCAAAAGGTGACTGCCCCTCTCAAAATGAGACCTGACTGTAAATGCTTTCTTTATTCTTGGAGGAACTGCAAAAGTCTTTTACACTTCCTTTTTTATATATATATTTATAGTCTCTAAAGTTGGGTTTGGGCAGGTTCGGAGGATTTACATGTAAAGAATTTCCAATAAAGGCTATGGACGAAGACCGTAGTTCTCCCTGTTTTATTTGTGTTGAGCTGATGAGCATCCCCAGGTCAGACTGACAGACATCACTGCCATCTGTAAACCTTGTTATAAAACGATGAACAGGGAGCAAAACGGGTTAGCCGTGACCACCAACTGATGTCTAATTTTACTTTTTAATAAAATATCAAACGGTTGTCTTTTCCCTCTGGTGTGGACTCTTTTCTCAGAAACATCTGCATCTTCACCTAGAAGCCAAATTAGTTGCAAATACGGTGTGTTGAAGCCAAAACTGTCATTACAGAAGATAAATGGTTTCATTATTCACAGAGAAAGATGGGCAACTTGGACTGAGACTGTTCCATGAAAACATTTTGTGGAAAATATGAAGCTTAGTTAGTTTCAATGCAATTACACAACCTGGACTCAGAACTGACCCAACTTTCTTTTTGTCTGACTGTAAGGTGGTCATCGACATCTGTAGACAACAGCATGATTTCATTAGACTGCAAGGAAATAAAGACCAATTTCAGTTTGGCCAGTAGAAAGCTGTGGACACGAGGCTCCAGATATGTATCCAAGGTCATTAAAGTGTCTAGACTGTCATTGAATGTGGTTTCTAAGTTTGTTTATGGACCAAAATAATAATTTTGCTGGACTCAGTGATTCAAGTCACTTTCATAGGGAGCTCCACAAAATGTGCCTGAACAGGTAGCTGGCTGCAGCAATGATCCCCACCAACTAACAAAAACACAAAATGAAGTGTGAGGTTGTGATGTATGGAGCAGAGGAGAGTGCAAGGAGGACAGTGAGATCTTCTGAAATATCTAGCAGTGAGGTGCTGACAGCCTGTGAGCCATCTGTAATTTGGCAACAGGTGTAGAAGCTAAGATGGATCAGAGTAAAGGTCAGAGATGTGAAAAGTCAGTGGAAACATAGCACTTCATTAATGACAGTTCAAACATGGCAGCAGCTGAATTCAGCTATAATAAACCTAAAATGATGTTTCACTATGGTACTCTTTATTGACCTCTACAACAAATTATTCTCAGTATAAAAATTAAAAACTAATTTTTACCTGCCTTTCATTGCTTATAGCCTCTATATTAAAAAAAAAGTCTACTGTGTCTGTTTACCATGAGATCTTTGTAACTGTAGTATTTTCTGCCAAAAAAGAAGAAGAGTTACAAGCCCCAAAGTGTTGGAGAGAAATCACAGCTTTTTGAACGTTTTGTTGATGTTGAAGCTAAATGCTGACTGGATCACTGTGATAGCCAGTTTTGGTAACTGACTGTTTTGGGTAATGGAGCCCAACCCAACTGAACATTGCTGTATACCTAAAAGAACTTTGTGTGATTTGAATGAACTTCTAATGAACTCTGAGAAGTAAATCACATCGCTCTTAGGAGGCTTCGTCCTCTCAGCATGAAAGAATTTGTTGTTAACTTGAATAAAACACAATGGAGTCGTGATATATTAACTTTTAGAAGTTTGGTTTTAGGTCTATCAGGGTCTTTCCAAACTCATAAAACGTGACATATCCCTCATATGGTGCATCCTACGCCTTGAAACGTGGCTGAGACATGCATTAATCACCAAACATTTACTCCCTCCCCTAGGTCAAAGGAATCAATGACTGTACATGCTGCTATGTATAAAAAAAAAAAAACTACCAGTAGTAAGAGGTACAGAAAATCTTCAAATACAGTTACACAAAGTGAAAGAATCCTGTCTGGTAAGTGCTGATATTGTCTGTATCTTATCTATGGCCTTAAGCCATGCTAGTGGCATATGCTCTTATATCAGTTGGTCCACCACTTTAGTCCAGACTGAAATATCTCAACAAGTACTGGATGGATTGTCATGAAATTTGTTGCAGATATTCATTCCTCCCTCAGGATAGACTGTTATATTTTTCCTCTAGCCCAATAAACACTCTAAATTTTCCTGCAAAACTTATTCTAATTAGCCTCATCTGTAGTTTATATACCTTTTAAGTTGATATAGTGAATTTGCAAGCATACAGTTGCGTATTTACTCATCCTCATGACTCATGGTCGCCTGGAAATTGTAAGTCCAGGATCCACACTAGGGATGTCATGATATCACATTTTCACTACACGGTTGTTGTGGCCTAAAGAATAATTACACTTAATGGTTAGTGAGGAGACAACCAGATGAACTGATAAAAGATCCATAAGGCCTAACATCTGCCATCATCATATTATCATATGTGTAATATTAACACAACATCAATATTTCATTTTTAAATATCATGGTTATTGTCAGCAACACCCCTCATTCACACTTTTATCTCTGTTTTTGGTCTCCACCAAATGCTCCACTGTCTTCACCAGCTACTTCCTAACTGTGTCTGTCCTTTGGTGCTGAGTAGGTAGTGTACAGTGATTTATTTATTTTTTTCTTTGACAAAAATGAAGCCATGAGAGCGGTGAGAATGAAACAACACAATCGTAAAGCTGCAGGTCGGACAACATCAATAAGTTAAGGTTTGTATTCTTGTGTGAAGTCACATGAACCTTTGACCTCAAATGACTTTGAGGAGATTGATTGCTGTTCACATGTTGCACACTTGTCAACATAATTTCATTTACACTCTTGTAGATCAAACACAGTATAGTGTAAATTAATTTACTTACCATGTCACCTGACATAGTGAAATTTTGTATTTTTATTTGAAGCTATAATGCCCTCACAGCCGTCTGTGGCCTGTTGTATTCATTTTGGTGAGTGATTAGTAGAGAGCTGTAGAGCTGCTCTGAGTTCACTTTAGACCTGAGGTCACAGTTTGAACCCGGGCAGCAGCCAGTGTGTCCACCTCTTGTCAGACAGCCAAACACTGACAAGCTCTGATCACTGTTGAAATACATTTCTGTTAAACATCATGCTTGACCTTCAGATTGTCTCCTTTTTACCACTTTCAAAGAACCATAATTTATAGTGCTACAATGGTTTTAAGGAGCCCAAACCAAAATTGTGTCTGAGTATATTCCAGTCGATCAGACATGGTTTTAAATAATACTTGCAAATATTTCACTGTGTGTGTGTGTGCGTGTGTGTGTGTGTGTGTGTGTGTGTGTGTGTGTGTGTAGTGGCGGATTGGTGTGGTCTGACAAGATAAATTACTGAGCAACAGAGGGTCACCTCAGGACACATGCCATTCATTTAACGTGTCTGGATGCATCGACTTCCACCGAATTCTTTAGTGATATCATACATTTATTGTATATATAGGTCATACATTAGGTTGTGTGTTTCCTTGGGTATTATATTATCGCCAAGTCTGGCTCGACAAGTTAAAGCAACAACAGCAGAAGCAGCAGCAGCAGCAGCAGGTGCTCTTGCTCTCGAACAAGCAAACACCGGCCATGTGCAGACTAATCTTTGAACCCTGTGCAAACTGACAGCAGTATGACTGAGCCATCCACCCACTGTGTGTATGTGTAAGAGCATAGCAGAGTAACCCACCCTGCAAATATTTACCTCAGGTCCAAGTCAGTGCAGAGGGCACTTGGCACGGAGGGAACAAGTGTATTTCTCACTCTCATTCCACCAGACATGATGAGCTGCAAGTGAATCTAACATTACTGTGACCACATTAAAGGAGAGTTGAGTCATTTGATATTGACAGGGTTCTACTGCTCGTGAATGAAGTACCCAACTAACTAGGAAGCTGCGATGACATTTTTTTAATCAAAGCATAACGTCAAGTTCCAATAATTTAACATTGTTATTCCTAATTTGCTTCATTTTATATGAATTTTTGTCCTTGCTTTATTTCCTTATGTTATTTTATGTTATGTGACTGTTCTATTGTTATCAAATACCATTATATGTAACTATCACCATGTAGTTTTTTTTTGTTCTGTGTTATTTGTTTTATTTAATGGGAATCCAATTAACAATGATATAAAAATACATAGGTGAACAAAGACAATACACATTTATCTAAATATCCTACTTCCCTCTATCTTCTTAAAACTTTTTTGTCTGGTTAAAAAGAGTTGACTCGGCCTGACTTCTCACCCTGCTGCAGTGATGTAGAAGTGTACTGCAGGGCATGTCGGTACACTGTGACCTCACTGTTAGCTGCAGCTACAGGTGCAGCGAGGTCAGTGAGACTGCTTTCCAGCTTGGTGTTACGTTACCCTTTAAATTTCAGTGTTATTTAGAGTTAATGGCAGCTGACAAATTAAAGGACAAAACTGATTAGTGAGTGGAGAACTCGAGTTCAGAGATTTGTAGAGTCTATGCTAAAGCAAACTGAATCTGTTCTGGAGGCTTGTGGTGGCCCACCACCTTACTCAGCCTTTAGCCTTAGCCTTTAATAGCTATCACCTTTGGATGTCACTATTGATCAAATCTTTATTAACGTCATTCTACATTTTGAATGGGTTGAGATGAGGTTATACTGAGACATACTCTGTGCATTTCTGACACCTGTCCCACCGGCGCCGTCACACAACATGACACAGTGAGTCAAGCTCTCCTGCTGGAGTCGGTGTTGCGGTGCATGAAGGGAAGTTTTGAGCTGTAAGCGTAAACTCGATTTGTGTCATATCATGGCACACTTCAGAATGAGCTCAGTCAGTAGTCTATCATGCTGGCAGCCGCAGGAATGCACACAGAGAAAATGAGGACAAGGGGGAAAGAGACAGAAAAATCCTGACAGTCTGCCAGAACAGAGAGAAGTGAAGTAACATAATCATTCACAGAGCATAAAGGTGACCTGAAAATTGAGCGCCAAAACCAACTTATATGACCGCAGCTGCGACATGCCCTAAATTTCCCTTTCCCTTCTGCTTTAAATGCAAGTACAAATGATTATTAATGCATTATTCACAAAACAGAGCCCTCTCCCCCAATTTTCTCCACTGATGTGCGTCCTCTCCCTTTGATGATATAACCAAAGTAAAAGGGGAGAAAAGTGAGGCAGTGCAGAAAAGGAGGAGTTCAGAGGATGGCTTTTCTCTTGGGAACACAGAGCTCCCATCCCAAAGG